ATATCAGGATCAACACAGAGCGCCGTCTACACCACCCAGCGATCCATCATCCGTCTGGATGTATTATGAGAGTAACAGAGAAACGGAGCCCTATCCTACCGTCAGCAAGCCAGAGCCGTCTGCGCAGACACAGAGATCATACAAACACACACTGTGCGTGCGGGACAACACGAATCGCTCTGTTCTCTAAAATCATCATATTAGAGTGATTTCTGAAGGATCATGTGACACTGAAGACTGGAGTAATGATGCTGAAAATTCAGCTTTGATCACAGGAATAAATTACATTTTAAAAATGTACTGTATTTTTATTTTTTTTAATCAAATAAATGCAGCTTTGGTGAGAATAAGAGACTTCTTTCAAAAACATAAAAAGAGAGATCCAAAACTTGAGAACAGTAGTGTATGAATGGTTAGTTTATGACAGTGATGTTCACACACACACACACACACACACACACACACTCACAAAGTTGACCTAAAACAACTTATTTTAACGTGTTCTCATTGACCACGTTCACTATCAAACTTGAGCAAAAAGCTTTCTTTGTAATATTCTTTTATATATGTATATTTATAAACCACCCTTAAGTTGACATCTGGATAATTGCACCAACCCATCATGACTCATATCCATTTTCCATCTGACTATTAATAATTCATCATTCATTCATTCTATAAACTGCTTCATGAGCCCATTACAGAAAATACAGAATATAAAGACTTTAAAGACTATGGCTTCACTTTATATAATAATCAGTAAAAAGAGGCTCATTAGTGAAATAATATGAAGATATTGGCAAACTATAAATAGCAGAAGTGTCAGAGCAAATATAGATGATTTTCTCTGAAGATCCTAAACTTCAGTAGAAGTAATTACTCACAATATGCTAATAAAAAAAACGAATTAATTCACATTTACATAAACATGAGGCTATTCGAAAGAGCGTTTCCAGCAGGTCACGATGAGCAAACATTTTATATTTCTAAATCAAACATTTCCACTGGTGTTTGTGCATCTGTGTTTAGTCGAAACATCCCGTTCATGGCCTCGTACGGCTGACATCTGCTCTCAGATACGAGACGCTCGGAGTTTGTGTCATCTACCAAAGACAGGAAACTAGTGGCAGAGGTTTCCTGCCAAACAGAGAGCCGTCGTCTTCCTCCATCTGATGTAAAATGATCACCAGCGTCATCCAGTGCGCATTTATAAACACATCAGTCTGATGAAACTATGAGGACTATTTGAAATGGTCAAACTTCAATAAAGTTTGATTGTGTTTCACATACTTTTGAATGTCAACAACCATGTTAATTAAATAAAATCCTGAATATTTTTGAGGTAAAGAAGTAATACAGTCAAAGTAAACAGTCAAGACCAGGTTGTGAATATAGCAAAAAGTCAAAAAATAAGAACATACAAACTAAGCTCCAGTGCATCTTGGGATAGGGCTCAGACCGAAAGTATGACAAACGATCCTGTAAATAAGGTCTGGCTCTCGGGTCAAGGTTTACTGATTTTTCCAGCAGAAGTCATAAAGTAGCTGTAATTTTACATCCCTCCAAACTTTACAGCTCATCGTGTCTCTGTCCGTTCAGGTGATTCAGGCAGGAAGGGTGTGAGATTTATAACTCAAAGCATTGGAGTAAATAAAGCCAGTCGATTCTTATTTTCAATCCAATTTAGGCGTCATGGCTGATCAACTGCGGTTTCATTGTGTGCCCATTAACAGCAAAGAAGAGAATCGAGGACTGGAATGACAATAAAACTGAAGAGTGCAAAATAAAATTTAGATTCATTCTCAGAATAAGGGTGAATCTCACAAAAACAAAAGTCCAAGTTATTTTTCACCCCCAAAATCAAAAGTAATTTTTTGTTTTGTTGAAATTATACTCTAAAATCAAAAAAAAAAAAAAAAAAAGAAGCCTATTTCTAGAATAATTAGTGTTTTTGCATTGTTCCATTATTATATTATTATTAAATACTCCCCAAATTCTAATTACCATAATGTGCAATAATGTATCATTACTGCAATATTATATTATATTATATTATATTATATTATATTATAATAAATTAAAAGTACATTATGGTAGTTTAAAAAAGAAAATTATGCTACATTTACTTATCTTTAAATGTATCTGGACAGAAAAAAATATATTTTTATTTCAGTAGAAATATGATGCATGTCATTTCATTCACATTTAATTTTAATTTTTTTTCTTTGTACAAAACAGATTATTAATAATAAATATTTTTCGTGAGATTCACCCATAATTGTAATTAACAACCTCACCCGTAATTAATTGATGCTGATGCTTTTGTAAATGAATGAGTGAGTGAGTGAGTCAGTGAGTGAGTGAGTCAGTGAGTGAGTGAGTCAGTGAGTGAGTCAGTGAGTGAGTGAGTGAATGAGTCAGTGAGTGAGTGAGTGAGTCAGTGAGTGAGTGAGTGAGTGAATGAGTCAGTGAGTGAGTGATTGAGTCAGTGAGTGAGTGAGTGAGTGAGTGAGTGAGTGAGTGAATGAGTCAGTGAGTGAGTGAGTGAGTGAGTGAGTGAATGAGTCAGTGAGTGAGTGATTGAGTCAGTGAGTGAGTGAGTGAGTGAGTGAATGAGTCAGTGAGTGAGTAAGTGAGTGATTCAGTGAGTCAGTGAGTGAGTCAGTGAGTGAGTGAGTCAGTGAGTGAGTCAGTGAGTGAGTGAGTGAATGAGTTAGTGAGTGAGTCAGTGAGTGAGTCAGTGAATGAGTTAGTGAGTGAATCAGTGAGTGAGTGAGTGAGTCAGTGAGTCAGTGAGTGAGTGAGTGAGTCAGTGAGTGAGTCAGTGAGTGAGTGAGTCAGTGAGTGAGTGAGTGAGTCAGTGAGTGAGTGAGTGAGTGAGTGAATGAGTTAGTGAGTGAGTCAGTGAGTAAGTGAGTGAGTCAGTGAGTGAGTGAGTGAGTGAGTGAGTCAGTGAGTGTGTGAGTGAATCACTGAGTGAGTCAGTGAGTTAGTGAGTGAGTGAATGAGTCAGTGAGTGAGTGAGTCAGTGAGTGAGTGAGTCAGTGAGTGAGTGAGTGAGTCAGTGAGTGAGTGAGTCAGTGAGTGAGTGAGTGAGTGAGTGAATGAGTCAGTGAGTGACTGAGTCAGTGAGGGAGTGAGTGAGTGAGTCAGTGAGTGAGTGAGTCAGTGAGTGAGTGAGTCAGTGAGTGAGTGAGTGAGTGAGTCAGTGAGTGAGTCAGTGAGTGAGTGAGTGAATAAGTCAGTGAGTGACTGAGTCAGTGAGTGAGTCAGTCAGTGAGTGAGTCAGTGAGTGAGTGAGTGAGTCAGTGAGTGAGTGAGTCAGTAAGTGAGTGAGTGAGTCAGTGAGTGAGTGAGTGAGTCAGTGAGTGAGTGAGTCAGTGAGTGAGTCAGTGAGTGAGTCAGTGAGTGAGAGAGTGAGTGAGTCAGTGAGTGAGTGAGTGAGTGAGTGAGTGAATGAGTCAGTGAGTGAGTGAGTCAGTGAGTGAGAGAGTGAGTGAGTCAGTGAGTGAGTGAGTGAGTGAGTCAGTGAGTGAGTGAGTGAATGAGTCAGTGAGTGAGTGAGTCAGTGAGTGAGAGAGTGAGTGAGTCAGTGAGTGAGTGAGTGAGTGAGTCAGTGAGTGAGTGAGTGAGTGAATGAGTCAGTGAGTGAGTGAGTCAGTGAGTGAGAGAGTGAGTGAGTCAGTGAGTCAGTGAGTGAGTGAGTGAGTGAGTGAGTGAGTCAGTGAGTGAGAGAGTGAGTGAGTCAGTGAGTCAGTGAGTGAGAGAGTGAGTGAGTCAGTGAGTCAGTGAGTGAGTGAGTGAGTCAGTGAGTGAGAGAGTGAGTGAGTCAGTGAGTCAGTGAGTGATTGATTGAGTGAGTGAGTGAGTGAGTGAGTGAGTGAATGAATGGATGGTGTGCAATGACAACCTATTTACAGGGAACTAAAAGCCAAAATTGTCTTGCACACAGTGACTTCCTTCTCTGCCGCTTCAGAGAGCTGAAGATCTGATCTCAAAGTGGACACTAAACCTTTATGTATTTTCTGACACGTGTGAAACAAATAGAGCCGGATGAATATAAACCACACTTTACTGAAATTAACAATAAACAAACAAACCCCTCACAGCTCTCGTTCCTGTAAACGGCTTTAATGCCTCATGAATAAAGTAAATACACAACACCTACACAACTCCTCCTCAACAGACATTTTTTTTGGGTTAATGAAAGTGATAGAAAGCACTTCTGTGTATGTGGCTCACAGGTGCATGCTGGGTAACACCTGAGGCTTGTGTGTGAAATGATTCACTTGTAGTTTGTGCGCTAGCAAAACAACCAGAAACGCAAATGCTTAATAGTGAACATTTAATGGGCTTATCATTTATTTTCTGGACACATGCATTGTGACTTTATTTTTATTACAATTAAAAATTTTAACTCATTATCGCAATGCCAAACAATGTTTAATGTTTGGCATTTTATATTCTATCTAAAGTGTTTCTCTTTCCTTTAACAGTATTTTTTGTACTGAAACTGAAACAATCTTTGAAAATTAATTAGCATACATTAAAGGCAGTGCAACAAATTCTACCATAAAATGCTTCTCTTAATTGAAATAATATAAATAAATAAATAATATATATATAATAATAATAATAATAATAATACGAAGTAATACGAAAAAAAGGGCTTAAAAATGTCTTAAGCATCATGAAATTAATCTCACGATGCAAAAAAAAACCTTAAATATATTATTTTGGGGCAGTAAGAAGTATCCCAGCATGCATTAGTCATTTGTACTACTCATTATTCACAGGCTCGCTCTCAAACACTGACAGCTGAGGTGTATTTCTGTCTTTTGTAGTCGCTAATGGGAGAGAAAGTGTGGTGATTTTAGTGTTTGGCGTCAGCAGTGTTAGCTTTCTTCTTGTCATTGTGAAGGCCGATACATGCTTGTGTGAGCTCTAATGGCTCAATATATTCACATAATTCATATTCACATCATTATATTCACACTCACCTGAGCTCTCTCAGGATCACCCTGAGACTCGGCACAAGACTCCATGTTTCTCCAGAGAGCGCCGGTCAATGCTGTTCCCAGATCTGCATGTCTGCGGAGACACAAACAGATTCACTTCAGACAATTACATTATTACGTTGCATGTTTATGATAGCCAGGCTAGCCAAGCAGCTTAATCATAATTAAAGCAAGAGTTCAGCCAAAAATGACAATTATTATTAAAGAATCGCATACTTGCACTGCGTACGAAATCGAATACTTCCCTACTATTTAGTACGCGAAAAACAGAGGTACTATACAAATACATAGTACAAATACAAAGTAGGTGAAAAGTGTCTGGATGACCTTATACTTCCGGCGATATTCTGAAGTGCGCATTCGATGAACACTTTACCATCCCATGATGCCACGGGAAAGGCTTTTGTGAATGGCAATGAAGCAACAGTGGGAGTGACAACAAGACGGATGCAGTACGTCTGAATTTACACATTCATACTCTATAGAAGGTTTTTTTTTAATGATCACAAAGTAAGTTTCAAACCAAATGTAGCACCTAATATCCAGTATGCGATTTTAGAAGCAGGGTTAGAGAGGAAAAGACCACCAGACTGGCATTTAAAGGAACACGCCGACTTCTTGAGACTTTAGCTTATTCACCGTATCCCCCAGAGTTAGATAAGTCCATACATACCCTTCTCATCTCCGCGCGCTGTAATTCTGTCTGACGCACCCACCGCTAGCCTAGCTTAGCACAAATACTGGAGGTAAATGGCTCCAGCTAGCATACTAATCCCAATAAGTGACAAAATAACGCAAACATTTACCCATTTAAATGTTGTGATTTGTATAGTCACAGTGTGTACAAATAACAAGGTCACATGAGACACAGCCATCTTCTAACCGTATACATACATACTGGTGGGAAATATATTCTCAGAATTCAGGCGAAGCCCTGCTACTTTGGCGGAGTGATTAGCGCAACACCAGAAAAGCACAGTTGTTACTTCCGTCGACAAAACCAACGTGACTAGCTAGCTAATAGCTATAGTAGCGAACGTGACTGGTGATCTCAGGTGCTGCGATCAAATCACTCAGCAGAAGTAGCAGAACCATTTAACTCCAGTCTTTGTGCTAAGCTAGGCTAGCGGTGGGTGCGTCAGACAGAGTTACGGCACGCACGGAGATGAGAAGGGTATGTATGGACTTATCAAACTCTGGGGGATACGGCGAATAAGCTAAAGTCCCAAAAAGTTGGCGTGCCGTGTTCCTTTAAAGCAACCAACCACAATTTGTTTAGCAAAATGCCTCAAAATACTATTTTCTCACATTTGCTAGTCTGTAGACAATTACAGACCATTTCTTGAAAGTTACCTTTACTTTACCAGGACATTTCATGACAATATCTTACGCAGACAGCTGTTATTCAAAGCTCAAACATCGATGGCACTCAAGCAGGTACTTCAGATCATTTGATCTCGGCCACAACGCCGTCAGTCAAATGGCCCACACAGCGAGATAAGCTCACACCAAACTTTCACAAGCGGAAACTTTTGATCTATAATTGGAAAAGTAGGTCATGAAGGGGGAAAAACGATGGAGAGAAAGCAGAGGCGGTCCAGGAGGCCTTGTAGACTGTGAAATTGTAACAGTGTGACGTGATACGGCTGAATTGACAACCTTAAACTGACCTGACGTCCTTGCCTTTTCATTGTGCGCATAGGCTATACTAATGGTCAAAAGTTTGGAATAATTACTTTTTTAGTGTTTTGAAAGAAGTCTCTTATGCTCACAAGGCCGCATTTATTTAATCAAACACACAGTAAAAACAGTAATAGTGTGAAATACTTTTACTTACAAATTAAAACAATGATTTTCTACTTTAATAAATTGTAAAATCTATTTATTCCTGTGATCAAAGCTGAATTTTCAGCATCATTACTCCAGTCTTCAGTCAGTGTCACATGATCCTTCAGAAATCATTCCGATATGATGATTCGCTGCTCAAGAAACATTTCTGATTGATGTTGAAAACAGTTTTGCAGCTTAATATCTTTGTGGAAAATGTGATACAGTGCTGTTTATTCAGCAAGGAGGACATATTAAATTGATCAAAAGTTATACAGGAAAGACATTTATATAGAGATTTCTATTTAAAATAAATGTTGTTCCTTTGAACTTTATACATCACAGAATCCTGAAATCCGGATTGCACAAAAATATCAAGAAACATAACTTTGACAATAAGGGACATTATTAATAACTAGTAGGGGTGTAACGATACACAAACCTGACGGTTCGGTTCGTCCCACGGTTTTGAGGTCTCGGTTCGGTTCGGTTCGGTTCATTTCGGTGGGGGGGTGTAGAAAGCTAAAATTGCTTTTATTTTTTATTAAACAGTGCTTTAATGAACAAATTGTGTCCTTGTCTTTAAATTAATTCAATTACAAGTAAACGTTTCTCAAGGATAACAAAATTATCTGCTAATGCTGTAAACTACAGCTCTTACTTGCACATTACTATAACATTAAAGCTTAACAACAGAGCCTAGACTTTTAGCCTAAATGATATAATAATAATCAACACTCAAATAACAAATTGTATGAAAACATGTAAACTGCACATAAGGCAATTTTTGCATTAACATGTTTTTACTCTAATTTGTTATTGTTATATAATAATTTACACAGTTGCTGTTATTTTCACTATTTTAAACATACATTAAATAATCAAGATATCATAAACAGGTTAAGTAAAATATAATATATAGGATAATATATAGCATTTATTTAGTGAAAGAGTTAGCAAACCAGCAAGCTGTGGACACTGAATGACTTGCCTGAGGTAAATATAAAGCTATGTGAAAAACTAAGCGTTTTATTTGACGTATTTCCGCTGTTGAAACACTGATTGAGTGTTTACACGAGTTATGATGCCTTTCAGTAAGTATACTGTATCTTTCAACATACCTTCGGGTGTCCATTCATGTTTATTCTGTAACTGAGGAAGAGATGATCGCGCTCCGCGCTGCCGCATGCATACAGTGAAATCTGTCACGCCACATCTAAGAGCGCCAAAACGCCATTTATTGTTTGCATTTCGTGATCAAATAGACATAATTTGAAAGATTACACCTTGCTTATTATCAAAAGTAACAAAACACTGAGCTTATTGCGATTATATGTGGTTAATGGTGGTTAGGCAACAGCCCTGTATTCGTTGTGTACACATAACACATGAGGTGCAATGAGCCGGGGCGGGGCAGCAGGGGGCGGGGCAGCAGGGGGCGGGGCAGCAGGGGGCGGGGCGTGTTCGGTTCGCCATGAGAGTATCGCAATACGTATCGTGAGTGGTGTATCGCGGTTTTTCGGTTCGGTTCAAATATCGTTACACCCCTAATAACTAGGGACCAATAATAATTAATAACTAAGCAACAAAAATCTGCATTTAAGAATGATTTCTGAAGGATCATGTGACACTGAAGACTGGATGCTGAAAATTCAGCTTAAATTAGGAATAAATCCAGGAAATAACTGACATTTTAATATATATAAAAATCAGTTATAAAATAATTTATAATATTAAGATTTTTTTTTTTTTTTTTTGATCAAATAAATGCAGCTTTGGTGAGTATATGAAACTGATGTTTCAAAAACACAAAGAATCTTAAATATTTCAAACTTTTCACCAGTTTGTCAACTCTTCCCCATTCCTGTCTCAGACAAAGATGTACAATATTTTGAGAGTCACAGCTTAGTGATTAGTCAACACAATGTGTGTGTGACTTCTAGAAAGACCTTGTCAAATTAACACTCCCAAGCGGGACGCAAAACCACAACCAGAAAGTGGTAGAAAACTGTTCTTCTGAACCAACATTCATGCCTCTTGAATCTGAATCTAAATAACTGGGAAATATCCAGAGCCTGTGGCTGAAACACATCGGCTGGAAATAATGGTCCGCACACACACACACACACACACGCTGCAGACCAAAGGGAATAGAAACAGTTGCAGGCGCGACTTCAAAGGAAACTTCAATGCGTTTTGTGAAACACAAAGCCGGTGCAGGTGAAAGGCTGTGGAGGGGCGCGCTGGTCTGAGAACAGTGACTGAAGTCCGGCAACAAGGAGCAGAGAGGAATATTTAGCTCTCTAAACGCCCCCGTTTATTTAACACCTATTCTGCCCTTTTAGCATGCTAATTTCAGTCACCGAAAGCAGAAACCTTCAGATTGTCTTATGCATAGGTTGGGTAATATCGATAACATTCAATATTGAATACATGCGTTTGCTCTGAAATGACACAACTAAATAAATAAATAAATAAAAGGAACCCATATTGATCAAGCAGTCACTGTAGTAAATTCACTTCAAAATGTTAAATAGTAAAATACAATAAAATGTAGTTTAAAAAAAATTAATCGACATGTTTTCCACAGCGTTTTTTCAAAAATTGACTGAATAAGTCAATTTAAATAATTTAATTTAAATGCACCAATATAGCAATCTATAGCAATAAACAGCTATATTTACCTATAGAAATAAAAAACAATGCCACCATGAGATCAAAACAAAATGATTCCCCAAAATGAAATCAAACCTCCCAAATCATATAGACACTATTAAAATATCTCTCGTCTTAACACTCTCAAGTCATATCACATTAAAATTGAGTGCTGTTGTTTTTGTTTGACCTTAAAAAGACAAAGAAAAAGTCCCCAAAGGCTGTTTCTTCTTATTGATCCCTCAATGCAATTTTCCAAGGACATTTATTCTTTATTTGAGTTATTGACGTCCTGTCAGGGTGTAGAAACAGCGGCGTAGGACAAGAACTAGCTGGTTTAGGTCAGTGGTTACCATCAACTCTGAAGATTTTGTATGTTTTTCTGATCAAACACACCTGAATCAACTTGTTAGTAGAGACTCCAAGACCTGAACTGTATAAGAGAGACAAGAAAAATATGTACAAAAAAAAAAACAAGAAATTAATTTGAGGCCATTTGCTACCAGACCATACCACAAAAGAGGAAGAAAGAGAATCAAGAAATGCTAAAACTGGAAACAGAATATCTATTTGCAGAAGTAAAACCACAAT